ATTTTTGCATCCGTATGTAACCATATGGGAAAGGATGTGCTGTTTTCCTAAACCCATGGTTATTTTTACCTACTTTGGGGATTAGGCAAGCTTTTCTGCCATGGATGCAAGACTTCAAGAATGTCCCAGTTTGTTTATCTAGATCTTCGGACATGTCAGCATTCCTGCGTCCTTATCTGCCTCTGACCAGGCTAGCTAGAAGGAGGCAGGAAGAGAGATCTGGTAAGGTTTCCTGTTATGTTTAATAGCAGAGCATGTTTAACTCTTAGCTGTTTAAGGGCTTCTTTGTTTGGGCTGTCTAGACTGTTTAGTAAAGAAGGACAGGGATCTGGAAAAGAAGGGAAAACAAGTTTTGCTATCCAGTTGGAAACAGAATCATCTTCAGTTTACCTCACAGCTGGTAGATGGGGTCTCAATGCAGTATCATTCACTGTAATGGTAATCGGCTTTGAAAAGCATGCATAGCTGCAACCACTAAGAGAAACATCAGCCTCATCAAATGCTTATCAGAGTTAGAAGAGTAGTGAAATGGATGATTTGGTCTTTTTTTTTCCCTCTCATTTTGACTTCACTACAAAATGTGTGATATCAAGGTTCTTTTTTTTTATTTTTAAGAGCTTCTTTATTTTTTTAATGTTTTATTGTGAATTATGTGATAGCTTACATGGGAGAACATTAGCTTTACATTTATCCTATCGTATGTTGTTTCATTGCCATGGTTACAATCCCCTCCATGCATCATCAACCAACCAAAGGTTATACCCTGCAAGCCTGCCCACCCCCAGTCTTCAGCACACAGTCACTCTCCCTCTCTGGATCTAGAGTCCCCAGCCGCTCCATCTCTCTACATCATCGTCTCTGCCTCCATCTCTGTCATCACTGCTTCTCTGGATAGGGTCCCACTCTTGGCTCTTCTCCCTTTGATTTGGCCTTTACACTCTAAATTTTCATCACACTTTATCGTGGAGGTGGTCAAGAGTTAAGAAAATTGATTTTGGCTAATAGTAAGATAACTATTTGTTATATGTTGTTGTTGTTGTTGTGAAGTGCTGTTGAGGTGGTTCTGACCCATAGCGACCCTGTGTAGGGTTTCTGAGGAGCAGCTGGTAAGCTTGAACCGCTCACCTTGCAGTTTAAACAGCTTTGCAGTCTGGCGCATGAACCCACAGCGCCACACCAGGACTCTGTTGTTGTTGTTAGCTATCTTCAATTCATGGTGACCCTACCTGTGTGTGTGGCAGAGTAGAATTGCTCCCTGGGGCTTTCTTGGATGTAATCTTGATGGCAGCAGATCACCAGGCCTTTTCTTCCATGGTGCTACTAGGCGAGGTCAAACCTTAGTTGCTGTTGTTAAATGTCATCGAGTTGATTCTGACACAAGCAACCCTGTATAGGGTTTCTGAGGAGCAGCTGGTGGGTCTGAACTTCCGACCTTGTGGTTAGTAGTCCAGTGCTGATCTTACAGTGCACATCAGTACTGAAACCTCGATAACGGTTCATATATAAAATGTCCCAGAATATTGGCATTGGCTATTTTGCAAGAATGATTAGTGGATAGGTTGGGTGGATAAATAACACTGTATAAAATGTGTTTCCACTTAATTTTAACTTTCCCTAGTATATTTTCCATCAATTTTAGCGTCAACCTCTTATCATTTTGCTGCTGTCTTTTTTGTTTGTTTCACTCATATGGGGAAAAAAAAAAAAAAAAAGAGTGAGTAAAAAGGAACCCCCTCGTGCCTTAAAAAGGAGCTCTGGTAGCGTAGTGGTTACGAATCAGGCTGCGAACCGCCGGGTCAGCAGTTCGAAACTACCAGCTGTTCCGCGGAAGCAAGATGAGGCTTTCTGCTCCGGTAAAGATTTACAGCCTCGGAAACCCTGTACCGAATTGCTATGAATTGGAACTGACTCCATGGCACATAACCACGACATACCTTAAAAGGCAAATACGTGAAAACTTAAGGACCAGATTTGATTCGTCCTCCCGCCACCTTCCTCTGAATGGTACCATTACATTTACAATCCAGAGAATTTTAAGTTGGCTACATTGAATATAATATAAATACGTGTCCTTTCTATAAGGATAAAAATGAACCAAGACAAAGTTATGATTAAGCTTTCTCATATTTATGACTGAACATGGATAAAAAAGAAGTGGAAAGGAGAAAGGGGCAGAGAATTTATTTTAAAAATTACAAAGAGGAGTACAAAACCAGTTGACTGATTTGTTATTCATTGGTATAATTATATCTGATATAAGGAATAGTGATTTGTACAAGTGGTCCCCCAGGAATACATTTATTTGTTTATAATGGTATAGGAGATAAAATAGTTGGGGTTTTATGCTTGCTCATGTAAATAAGAGAGAAGAAGGAGGTCTCTAGATAGAAACCTAGCTTTTTGACTTGGCCAGTAGTGGGGTAGATGGAGGAACCATTCATCTTGCTCAGGAATCTAAGGGACGTATGGATTTGGGGACAAGATGAGTTCAGTTTTGGACTTTTACTTTATTACAGAAACATATAGAAATATCTAGTAAGTAGTTGGAAGATGGATCTGAAGCTCAGATGAAAGACCTAGGCTGGAGGCAGAGCTATGTGGATTGTCATCACTTACCTTAGGTGGTAATTGACAGAATGGAGTAAGTACAGTTTTGCTGGGAGACCACATGGAGTGAAATGAAGGAGATTGAAAAATTGTCCAGGCCTCCCTAAAAGGGCTAGACAAAAGGAAACCTGAGATGTAAGAGGAGAACAAAAGAGTTCTTTGGATATGTTGAATTCAGGGCTCTGGAAAAGGTGATGTGTTCCATAGTTCCATAATTTTAAGAATAGTTTTTAAAACCAGAGATGTAGAGGGAAATGAATAGAAACTAATAAGAGTTCTTATAAAAGAAATGTATTTCATTCATATAATTCAATCTTGGATATAGAGAATAGTAATTTTTATAAATCGTTCCCCAGGGGTATACTTGTAAATAGTTGAGAGGAGTTGTTGAAAAGGTGAAAATCAGAAACTGAGCATTTTTTCCCACTTGATACTAGTTTGCCTTACACAGAAATATCCACTCTGATCTCCCAAACAGCTGCCCCAGTGTCAGGGGACTGAGGACCAGCCCCAGCACTGAGAGGGCATGAGTGGGTGGACATTATGGGAGTGACCTGGTCCCCCACCCTACAGGGCGTGAGGTCACTGGCAGAACAGTTATCATGGAGCTGGTGGGTGTTAGGTTCCCTTTTTCAGTCTTTTAAAGAGTTGTGTTTGCTTTTCTTTCCTTTTTTTTAGGTTTGCTTTTCTTTGTGCTTATAATATCTGTTGTTTTATTATTACTATGTGCCAGTCCTTTAGATCTATTTCTTGTTTCTTTGTCGCAACAGCTCTCTGATGTAGGTATTATATTTTTGTTCCTGTTTACCTGAAGGAAATTGAGGCACAGAAAGGTTTAGTAACCTGTTCAAGATCCTTCAGCTAATAAGTTGTGGAACCAGGTTTTAGTCCTAGAAAGTCTGTTTTGAGTTCATGCATCCAACTGTCATGCTATAAAATTGTTACGTAATAATAATAATTATTATTTAATACATGGATGCATGGTAGCTCTGTAGGATAAGCACTGGACTGTGAATGACAAGGTCTTCAGTTTGAGCCCACCAGCCTCTCTATGGGAGAAAGATGAGGCTTTCTGTTCACACAAGGATTTATAGCCTTGGAAACCCTTTACAGGGTTTCACTATGAATCAGAACTGACTCTACTGCATTTAATAACAACATGGTATGTGCTTATATTTTCAAATTGGAAAATTTGAAATCTTACCACTGGCTTACCCTTTCTATTAGAATTTTGCTTGTTATGACATAAAACTCTTGTTACTACACTGGGGTATTTTATTATTCTTTTACACATCTTTAGATTTTTGTCTGCTCAGATTGAACCAATGTCATCAAAATGTTTTTTTTCTGATCACTCTGGTTTGGTACATATTTTTTTCTTCTCTTAGGATGCCTTCTGTTATAAAAGATGTGTAATTTCCTTTCAAAACTATTGGTTTAACATATGTGTCTTGGATTTGGATATTGAATAGTTTTATTTTTCTGGATATTGAATAGTTTCATTTTTCATAAAGCATATATATATATCATTCCTCAGCAAGGTAGTAAACTTGGGGAGAAGTATTAACCCATACATTCCTAATAGACCACCAAGCTCATTGCTGCTGAAACCAACTTTTCCTGAGTATCCCCTTGAGATCCCGAAAGAGTTCGTGAATTTTGACAATGACCTAGTTTACTACTTACTCCCTGGAGAACATATAGTTTATTGTGCATATATTCCCAATATGCTATTAATGCTTATGTTTACGATCATTTAATATAATCATCCAGAATTACCCAAAACAGATTTGAGTTAGGCTTTGATGAGAAGGGAGGGCTGTAACATTTACTTTAAAATCATAACCTTTTTAGAGTTGAAGGCATTCTAAAGATCGTAAGGTTCCAGCTACCTCATTTTATGGGTGAATTATGGCCTGTACCCAGAGCTTTAAGGGACCACAGAGAATCCCTCATGTCTCTGCTGGGGGATAGGGACAAGGAACCTACAGAGAAACGTTCCTGGTTGGGAGTGACACCTTATTCCTGAAATGACAGGTCAGTTTCATTTTGTGCACCAGTGTTAGTCAGTTGGTGGAGACTGTCAAAAGCTCTGTATTGAGAAGGACTTTGAGGCTTCGTTTTACCCAACAGGAAAGATTGCAATAAATGGATGCTTCTGGAAGAAATGACAGCATGTAATATTTATAGGTTCTGCTTTAAAGTGAACCAAGGAGTGGGAAAGATGAAAATGCCAAGGTATTCAGGGTCTAGATGATAGAAGGCCTTGGATACTGGGCCGCATCTCTTAGGGAAGATGGAACCATTGAAGAAGACACTTAGTGGAGGGCTGTACTGCACTGAACATGGCTGATTTGAAAATGTATTTTCAAAAATGTTCTTCTGCATTCTAGCTACAAGCCAATAGTAGAATATATTGATGCCCAGTTTGAGGCCTACCTGCAAGAGGAGTTGAAGATCAAACGTTCACTCTTCAATTACCACGACACAAGAATCCACGCATGCCTCTACTTCATTGCCCCAACTGGACATTCACTGAAGTCCCTGGACCTGGTCACCATGAAAAAACTGGACAGTAAGGTACTCCTTTTAGATCACGTTCATTCTAAATTCCTAGTTTATTCTCTGCTTTCAGTATAATTTGTTTTCAGATATCATTGGGATTAGCAATGTGAGAAAAATGCTTCAAAATTTCTGAACGTTAGGCAAACACAAAGCAAACAAAACTACTTTCCTCATATAGTTTAGTTTCTTGGATTATTTGCTCAGCATACAGATTGAATAAATATAATGAAAGGATACAACTCTGATGCACAGCTTTCCTGATTTTAAACCACACAGTCTCCCCCTTTTTCTGTTTGAGTGATTGCTTCTTAATCCATATACAGGTTCCACATGAGCACAATTCATTGTTCAGGAATTCCCATTCTTCTCAGTGTTATCCATAGTCTGTTATGATCCACACAGTCAAATGCCTTTGCATAGTCAACAAAGCACAAGTAAACATCTTTCTGCTATTCTTTTCTTTCAGCCCAGATCTCTCTGACATTAGGAATGATATCCCTCTTTTCTTCTAACTCCGACTTGAATTTCTGGCAGTTCTCTGTTGATGTACTGCTGCTGTGATTTTTTAATTATCTTCAGCAAAATTTTACTTGAATGCGATATTAATGATATTGTTTAATCATTTCCACATTCTGTTGGATCACCTTTCTTTGGAACAGGCATAGATGAGTGTTTTCAGTGTTGTATCCATTTGTTGGACCGTCTCTAGTGGTGTACTGCCAATTCCTAGAGCCTTGTTTTCATCAATGCCTTCAGGGCAGCTTGCATTTCTTCTTTAAGTACCATCAATTTTGATCATATGCTACCTCCTGAAAAGGTTGACCCCCATCCAATTCTCTTTGGTACAGAACTCTTTGTATGACTTCCATTGTCTTTTGTTGCTTCCTACATCCTTCAGAATCCGTCAGCTTTGCAACTCCAAGCTTGATTTTGTTTTCTTCAGTTCTTTCAGCGTGAGAACTACTGAATGTATTTTTCCCTTTTGGTTTTTTAATTCCAGTCTTTGTACGTTTCATTACACTGTGTCTTTTTCTCAAGCTACCTTTTGAAATGTCCTTTTAGTTCATCATTCCTTCCTTTTGCTTTAGTTGCTGTATGCTCAAGAACAAGCTTCAGAGTTCCTTCTGACACCCATTTTGATCTTTTCTTTCTGTCTGGTGTTTTAAATGGCCTTTTGCTTTCTTCATGTGTCAGCCCACAACTTGTGTGGCATTCAGTCTTAGTGTTCAAGGCATCAAATCTATTCTTGAGATGATCTCTTAATTCAAGTAGGCTTTACTTAACATAAAGGAGCTCTGGTAGCGTAGTGGTTAATGAAACAGGCTGCTAACCTCAAGGTTGGCAGTTTGAAACTACCACCTGTTCCATGGGAGAAAGATGAGGCTTTTCTGCTCCTGTAAAGATTTACAGCCTCAGAAACCCTGTGCAGGGTCACTATGAATCGGAACCGACTCCACGGTACTTAATAACAACATACTTAACATTGGAGTCCTGGTGTGGCACTGTGGGTTAATGAGCTGGACTGAAAAGTCAGTTTGAACCATAAGGTTGATGGTTCCAGCTCACCAGCCACTCCTTTGAAACCCTATACAGGGCCTGTATGGGTCAGAACTGACTTGACGGCATTTAACAACTGGTGTGGCTCTATGCATTAATGCACTAGAACACAAGGTCATTTGAATTGCAAGGTCCATGGTTCAAATTCACCTGCCACTCTTCAGAAATGCTATACAGGGTCGCTATGGGTCCAAACTAACTTGACGGCACTTAACAACAACAATCCTCAACATTGCACTTTGGCTTTTGTGGACTTGTTTTAATTTGACCTTGCATACGAGAAGTTAATGTTCTGTTCCACAGTCAGCTTTTGGCCTTATTCTGACTGATACTAAGCTTCTCCATAGTCTCTTTCCACAGATGTAGTTGATTTGATTCCTTTGTATTCCATTTGGCTAGGCCCAGGTACATAGTTGCAGTTTATGTTGTTGAAAAAGGCATTTCCAATGTGTACGTCTTACAAAATTCTGCCATGCAAACTCTGGCATCATTTCTATCACCAAGCCCACATTTTCCAACTACTGATCACTTTCTTCATTTTTGGCATTATTCATTGGTAAATAATGTTGAATAATAGTTGTATCAACTGGTCGTCCTTGTAGGCATATGGATAAATCATTCTGTCACTGATAGCATTCTACTTCATTTAGGATAGACCTTGAAATGTTTTTTCACAGTGTGGCACCATTCAATTGATCATTTCTGGTGTAGTGTAGACCATGTGATTGTCCGATTCAAAATGGCCAGTTTCCCCTTCCCCCCTGCCCCATTTCAACTCACTAATGACTAGGATATCTATCTCCAGGCATGCCATTTCATTTTTTAAAACTTACAGCATTCCTTGATCCATACTTCATGAATTCCATTTTCAGATTAGTAGTGGACGTTGACAGCTGCTTCTTCTCATTGTGAGTCATATCACGTCAGCAAATGAAGATCTGGAAAGGTCCCTGAACTTTACGAAAGTCAACTTTACTTTGAGGAGTTAGCTCTTTCCCAGTCGTATTGTGAGTGCCTCTCAGCCTGTTGGGCTCATCTCACTATTTAGACAGTGTTTTGCTACTACTATAAGACTCTCACTGATCAGTGTTTTCTGAAGTAGATTGCCAAGACCTGTCTTAGTCTCGAAGCTCTGCTGAAAACTTTGCACTGTGGGTAACCCTGCTGGTACTTGAAATACCAGTGGTAAATACCCAGAGTACAATAAACTAACAGACAAGTTCTTGTTGTTATTAAGTGCCGTCGAGTAGGTTCTGACGCATAAGAACCTTGTATAGGGAGGGTTTCTGAGGAGTGTCTGGTGAGTTTGAACTGCTGAACTCACACTTCAAAGCAACATTGTGGTTGAGTGCTTATCCTACAGCTCCAATACCAGGACTCCCACAGACAACTGGCGGGTGATTATGTTTCATAGGGTTGAATGTTTCATAGGGTTGATTATAAAAGTAGAAGAATCAGCAAAATCAATACAACTAAAAATATCCCCATAGAGAAGGTTAACTTCCAAAGCACTGATAACTATTGTGTGGCCAGAAAGCAAAGTACTATTTGTGCTATTGCCAAGTTTTGTTTAGACAAGTAAAGTAAAGAGTTAAGGCAGATATGTGATACTTTTTAAAAAAGACTTGAACTCCTGCCACTAAGGAGAAATAGATTTTAGATCTAAATGACTTTGTTTCTCTGCTATTTTGTTTACATTGATAGCAAATGGATACTAAATGTGTCCAAAAGTTGCTGTCACTGCTAAGTAAGTGCTGACAAGCTGGTTCTGACTCATAGCGACCCTGTGTAGGCTTTCTGAAGAGTGACTGGTGAGTTTGGATTGCCAGTGTTGTGGTTAGCAGTCCAGTGCTTATCCTATAGCACCACACCAGATATAAGAGGTTGTTGTTGTTGATGTTAGGTGCCATTGAGTTGGTGCCGACTCATAGCGACCTCATGCACAGCAGAACGGAAACACTGCCCGATCCTGGGCCAACCTCACGACTGTGTATATGAATAATGTACGTTTTTTTGGTTCCTCGGGTCCTGATTCAAACGTTCTCCTTAGCCCATGAATTGTATCTTACTCTAGAGCGTGCTGCAGGAAGGCTGGGCATGAAGAGACTAGGAATGGGATAAGGAGTAGGTTGAAGAATAGGTTTTTCTATTAACATGTCATCTCATCTTGTTTATCAGGGATTTGTGCTTTGGCCCAAGGATTGAAAAGAGAAGGATTGGAATGTATATGTGAACTGACACCCCTACTCCACCACCACCACCACCACCACCACACACACCAGAAAAAAACCAAAAAACTGAAAAAACACAACCCACACAAAAACCTTGTTTCCTTTACTTGTTCCCTGGCTCTTGTCTGCTTTCCCACCCGAGTTCCATTTATTTTTCACCTGAGCTTAATGGGGAGAGCATGTTCCCAGGTATCAGATGTTAGTGGTTTCTAATGAAAGCTTTTTTCCCACTCAGGGACTGGAAGAGAATTGATCTTCAAAAATGAGCTTTAAAGAATGTGTCCAGGAGACAGGCTTTGGGGCGTTGGGAAAAGAATGTCACATATTGGACTCTGGATCTTGCACTGTGCTATGTCCCTGGCATTCATCCATGACTTTCGCACTTTTTTGTCAAAATTGGGTTCTCCCTTGTTCTTTGTAACCTGTGCTCTGAAAATGAGTCCTGATTTTGGCACTAAACTGCATTCTAGCCCAGAGGAGTAATGTGATATAAACTGATTTTCAAGAGAGTTAGTGTACTTTTGAGAAAACGTTTAAAGTAGGGGAAACAATTGTTTTTTTGTTTGTTTATGCTATTATTAATGCTTAGGTTTTCCTCTCCCAGTAGTTTTTAGGTCCTCAAAAGAAAGAAAGTGTTTTATCCTGCATAGAGTGCTGGCTCTTCCACTGCTGTAACTAAACAAAAACTTTGTCATAATACTGCTTAGGAGCTGCAGAAACCAAGGAGCTAGGAGAGGTCTAAAGGGAGTGGCTGGTTCTTCACAGAATAAGTTTCTTTGTTACTGCTATTTGTCACAGAATAATAACACTTCCTTTTTTGCTCTCTAAAGAAGAATGAGGTAACACAGGAGGGGAAATTACAAGTATGCTCTCAGTATGGGCTGGGAGGAAGTAAGCGTTGGGAGATGAAACTAAAAGATTATTCCATGTCTCCGTAATCTTGCATCTTGGTAGAAAGTGTGGTTTTTAGTATCACCTCTGTTTTTCATAGTGAGACTTGACAGTTTTATTTGTTTGTTTACTGTATTTTGGTCATCTGCCACTCCCCCTACCCCCACCCCATGGTTGTTTTTGGCCAAACTTTTTATTTACCTTTCTGTAGTTGTTTAACACACACTTAAAAGGTCTTAATGGGGTGGAGGGTTAACGGGAGGCTCTTTTTTTCTTCATGTTGCAATTGTGAACAATGGACGCATTTGTTTTACAGGTGAACATCATTCCAATAATTGCAAAAGCTGACACCATTGCCAAGAACGAATTACACAAATTCAAGAGTAAGATCATGAGTGAACTAGTCAGCAATGGTGTCCAGATATATCAGTTCCCCACGGATGAAGAAACAGTGGCAGAGATTAATGCAACAATGAGTGTAAGTCCTCCGGTCAGAAGGGAACAACAGGGACTTTCCTGAAAGCTTTTCTCTTAGAAGTCACATCGGAGAGTGGATAGGACATTACGCAGATAGGAATCTAATGACATTTGCTTGTATTCCAGCTCTGCCACTGACTGCGGTCATTTAGCCACCCGTGTCTGCAGCTTCCACAGCTGTGAAATAGGATGTATAAACAAAATGATCTCAGGTTTCCTTTCAGCCCTAACACGATTTTAAGACAAATCTTGCCAAGGAAAGCATGCCAGGCCAGCATCATCCTGTTTGCTTCTGTCTAGAAATACAGTTCTCTTGCTTCGCTTTTACTTCCTCGACTGGTTTCTGCCTTTCTTTCTATTTTCCCTACATTTACTGAATGATTAGGCCAACTGGTAGTAGAGAGTACAATTTCCACATTACAGAAATCTGGACAGGAGACAAATGATTAAAACTATACCAGTTCCTTGAAGTATGTATGCCTGTGATTATAATCTCTCCTGCTGAAGTTTCTGTCTTGAGTCTTTTCCCACTGGTTCTTTTTGTATCTCCCACAGTTCAACGGTGGTCTGCAATGACTATATATCGTTTGTTTGTTTGTTTGTTTGGGAATGTGTAGCTTATATAAAAGCAACATTCTCTGCACATTGTAGATGCCCAGTGATGGTTTTTAAGATTCTTAGAACTGTAGTTTAGCTTCAGTGAAATGTCATTAGACTCTATTGAGTAGCTTACCCCACACCCCACTGCCATCAAGCCAGTTCCGACTCGTAGTGAGTGACTCTTACAGAGTTAAAGCTTTATGTGAACAGAATTCCTGAAATGCATGCTAACTAGTGATTGAGAAATGGGCTGGTGACAAAGGAAGCCAGTGGTGAGTTTAAGGCCTGTGATGGTTTGAAGTATGTTCTACATTCCTTATAAGATGTGACCGTGAAAAGTTGTGTTGAATCCAATGATTATTAAATGTACTAATGTCACTTTTAAAAATATCAGTTTTGTGGGAGTCTAATTGATATAATATATAATTCACCTGTTTAAAGTATACAATTCAACGATTTTCGCATTATCGCTAAGTTGCATACAGTCATTACCACAATTAATTATAGAAATTTTTATCACCCCCAAAAACCCCTAAACTGGGAGAAAGATGAGACTTTCTGATGCCATAAAGATTTACAGCCTTGGAAACCCTTACAGGGTCTCTATGAGTCGGACCCAACTGGGTGGCTCCCAACCACCTATTTTCAATCTTTGGCGATTTGTCTATTCCAGACATTTTACATAAATGGAATGATACCAAGACTCAATTTAGAGAGTTAAAGGACTTGCCCAAAGCCATATGAGTACCTGGTCTCCAGGCCTATGTTATTTGCTATTGTAATTTTGAGGATCAAGAGTTAACCCACGAAACTGTTTCTTACTTAAATTCAGTATGTGAACTTGTAATTTAAGGCTGTTTATCTCTTCAGGAATAATTTCTACCTTAAAATATCCCCAGTAGGGCTACGACGTTGAAAACAGCCCACTTTTTCCTCTTCTCTGGGATCATTACTACATGAATTTAAAATTTAGGTTCTTATTAACGCTGAGAAAGTTTGGCTCCACTGTCTTCTAGTCTGGTCACACTTTGAATTGTGTTATCCACTCTGGCTGTCACACTCCTCTGGCCGGGATAGTAGAGTGTCTGGAGTCCTTGGCACACAAGGGATAGCTGAAAGAAACCAGATAGAAGGCACTAGAAGACTGTGAAGAGGAGAGTGAACAGACTTACTCAAAAGACAGGACCAAGACTAATGGGCAAAAGAGTAGGAGGGATTTGGGTCTAGTATGAGGGGTTTGTTTAACTTAATATACAGTGGCTATTTAACTTAATATCCATATACAATGAAGCCATTGTAATGAAAGAAGCTGGTTGTAGAAGTAGTAAGCACACAGACATGAGTGGTTGCTGGATCACAGATTCTGTTTCAACTCACTTAGTAGAGAGACTGTAGAAGGAGTTAGTACAGAGGGTTAAACTGTATAATGTGTGAGATCTTTTCCACCTCTTAAATTCTCTGGTTAGGGGTATTGTGGAATTTCAGAAATAGTGGTTGAATAGAGACTAGTGGAACCCCGAGTGTATGATCCTTGATTACCTTTTTTAGGTCTGAACTGAACTCACTTATGTGGCTCCATTTTCAGCCAAGCAATAGATTTGTCTGTAGGGGAAATAACAGCACTAATCAGGTATGCGCACCATAGAATGGTCATCCATTTGAGTTTAAAAAGGCAGCATTTACCCAAGAACAAAGTTCAGAAGGGCTAGGAAAGGAGGAGGAATGGAAACAAGAAATCCAGCGAGGAAGTGGGAGAAGTGATGTTACATAAGCGGGGATTGACTGCAGTCAGGGAGATGAAACAAACTGTATAGGATTTGTTGAATGTAAAACTGTTGATATGCTCTGTAAACCTTCACCCAATTCACAATAAAATGTTTGAAAAAATAATAAAGGTAGAGTTGTTGTTGTTGTTATGTGCCATGGAGTCGGTTCCAACTCATAGTGACCCTATACAGGGTTTCCAACACTGTAAATCTTTATGGGAGCAGAAAGCATCATCTTTCTCCCGTGGAACAGCTGGTAGTTTCGAACCACTGTCCCTGAGGTTCGCAGCCCAATTCGTAACCACTACGCTACCAGAGCTTCCTTTAAGGTAAAGTTGTAGCTAGCATTTGTGGAGCATATGTTCCAGACACCGTTCAAGGGTGTTACATGTAACCCTCACAACAATCTCAGGTATTATTACTCCTACCTTTCTTATGAGGAACTGCAGTATAATGCCTAAGATTACACAGCTGTCAGTAGAGTGGAGACAGGATTTGATCCCAGCCAGTTCAGCTCTAAGAGCCACACTCAACCTTTACACTAAGCACCACCCAAGCAGAGCAGTGTACTTGTTTCATAACATAGTCAAAAGCTCAGGCAGAGCTGTCGCTTGTGTTTTCTACACCAGACTGCAATCTGGGGTGTTACTGTAGAGCCCAGGAAGCACCATGAATAAGTACCGTCTACTGTTCTCTTTCAGAAGTTCAAGCTCACCAGCTGCTCCTCGGAAACCCTATTCAGGGTCACTGTGGGTCTGAATCGACTCAACGACACTTAACAACAACAACAACAACAACTTTATCTCTTTAAGGAGCTCTGGTAGCATAGTGGTTATGAATCGGGCTGCTAACCTCAAGGTCAGCAGTTCAAAACCACCAGCAGTTCCGCGAGAGAAAGATAAGGCTTTCAGCTCCTATAAAGATTTGCAGCCTCAGAAACCCTGTGCAGGGTTACTATGAGTCAGAACCGACTCCACGGTACTTAACAAAACCAAACTTTTCTCTTTATACCCCTTCCCACCTTTAAATTTTTTTTTTTCCCCTTTAATGACTTGTTAGGAGCTCTGGTAGCGTAGTGGTTACGAATTGGGCTGCGAACCTTAAGGTCAGCGGTTCGAAACTACCAGCTACTCTGCGGGAGAAAGATGAGGCTTTCTACTCCCGTAAAGATTTACACCCTTGGAAACCCTGTACAGGGTCACTATGGGTCGGAACTGACTCGACGGCACTTAACAACAACAATGACTTGTTAAGTGCCATTTGCCAGTTCCAACCCATTGAGACCCTGTGTAGGATTTCCAAGGAGTGGCTGGTGAGCTTGAACCACCATCCTTGCGGTTCAATCTGACTTTGCACAGTCCACCACATTAACCCACTAGAGACACGAAACTCCATTTGTGTTAAACCTTTTCGGGCGGAACTATTTGTGAGCCTCTGCTCTCTTATTCCTTTTACCAGTTTCGTAGAACTGAAGATCTTGTAATTCCCAACTTAATCTTGCTCTTTACCAATTTTCTTTTACGCTCTTTGTTGCTGTTGTCAATTATCAAGTCCATACTGACTCATTAGTGACCCTGTATAGGGTTTCAGAAGGAGCTCTGATAGCATAGTGGTTACGAGTCGGGTTGCCAACCGCAAGGTCAGCAGTTCAGCGGGAGAAAGATGAGGCTTTCTGCTCCTGTAAAGATTTGCAGCCTCGGAAACCCTGTGCAGGGTCACAATGAGTCAGAACCGACTCCATGGTACTTAACAACAACAACAACAACATAGGGTTTCTGAGGAGCAGTTGGTGGGTTTGAACTGCCAACCTTGTGGTTCGCAGTCCAGTGCTGATCCTACAGCACCACACCAGATAATTCCTGCTGATGAAATCCCACATGATGTATGGAAATTTGAGGAAAACGGATGCCATTCAGTTTCTTTTGCTATGGCGGTTGAGTGTAGAATAAAGTTCCCTTGGTCATTACACAGATATGCTGGCTGGAGCATCCTATTTCCCTTCAGCTTCAGAGGAAACAGTTCAGTTTTAAACTTGGAGTCTGAGAAAGAGTGCATTTTCTTTTCTTCTACAGAATGCGAGATTAACTAGAAATTTAAAATACTTTGAGTAGCAGACAAATTGCTACATGACTAACCTGGGTTGAGAATTATGCCACGTTCCCTGTGGAAGAGATTAAAACATTTCCTTTTTCCTAAACTCAAATGTAGTAGAGAAATACCAACCAAGGGATCTCACGTAAAAATTCTCCAAGTAGCCATTGCAAATCTTTTTATTCTTATAATAGAAGAAAAGATGGAATTCTTATGTTCCCGCCTAGAATGTAACCATAGTTACCAAAGAAATCAATGTGGGAGAGTCAGTTGTCTTGAGTAGCATATCTGCTTGACATCAATCTGGGCACAAGGCTGGCGCCAGTATTCTAGGCCGAAGTATTTCTGACTAGATTTTGTACAGCGACCAGCTGTCCAAAGTAGCACTGTTCAATAGGAGTAGAAGACAAGTTTCCTAGTAGTCCCATTACAATTTATAAAAAGAAAACATGATATTAATTTAATAATTTATTTCATTGACTCTCTAAAAATACCATCGTTTTAGCAGGTAAATAAAAAATTCTAATGTGTAATTTTACATCCTTTGTTTCGTATTAAGTCTTTGAAATCCGGCATCTATTTTGTTGTTGTTAAGTATCATCAAGTCAGTTCTGACTCATCGTGATCCTGTATAGTGTTTCCGAGGAGCAGCTGGTGGCTTTGAACCACTGACCCTGTGATTAGCAGCCAAACACCTAACCCATACCATTTAATATTATCAATAGCTGCTAGCTGAAATGTTAGTATTTTGAACCTACCATTTGCTCCAAGGGAGAAAGATGTGACAATCTGCTTCCATAAAGATTGTTGTTGTTAAGTGCCATTGAGTTTGTTCCATCTCTTAGTGACCCACCCTGTATGGGGTTTCCGGGGAGTGGTTGGTGGGTTTGAACTGCTGACCTGGCGGTTAGCAGCCCAGTGCTGATCCTACAGCACCACACCAAGACCCTGTGTTTATTTTACACTTAATGTATGTCTCTATCAGGCTGCTAAATTTTTATTGGAAATACTTGATCCTTATTTACATTTGTATGTAGCAGGATTTATAGTTGAAAAAGCAGATTCTCACATACCCAAGCTGTTATAAATATACTTAAAAATTTCCCGTCGGAATTGAAATAATAATTTTCCTTTATTGTTTACATCCAAATTGGTAAAATAGAGTCTTCCTTGTTAGAAGATTTTAGTTCTCTTTGAAGCAAAGGGAAATACTGTCTTACTTAAACCTTAACGTTGCATTTAAGAGAAAAAGATTTTACAGTGCTTCTATTTCTAAATTTACACATAAGCTAACTAAAATTAGGTAAAATAGAAAATTCACCAATCACACTCATTCCCTTTCAAGTATTGGATAGCACTGTGCTAAAGCTTACCATATATTTGTAGAGCCTTATATAGTTGGTTATGCTTTGAATCTAGCTCATAACAAATATTCAGTTTGAACCCCACTAAATGCAGAACCTCTTGCTTCTTCTACCCTCTTCCATTGCCATGAAATAGAGGCCTACTGAAGGAGAGGAGACTGTGAATTCTGCTGGAGAAATGTCTTTGATGGAGCTCTAGAAGATAATTCCTCTCTGTGTTTCTATTGGTTGGCAGGTCCATCTCCCATTTGCAGTGGTTGGCAGCACTGAAGAGGTCAAGATCGGCAACAAGATGGCAAAGGCCAGGCAGTACCCTTGGGGTGTAGTGCAGGGTATGTGCACAACATGGGGAAGGAACTCTTCAAATTAACCTTGTGGTGAATGTCCGTGGTTCTTCCCTCCCCATCTTGTTTGGGAAGGTCCCCAGCAGTGGGCAGGCAGAGGGAGTTGGGGGCAGGTTCCTCCTGACAATAGTGTTCTATGGCAGTGAGGAGGGAAGAAACGGTGAGCGCGTATGTAGCGAACGGAGAGCAGTGGCTGCAAAGGCCTAGTGCCAATGAGGCAGCCCTTCAAGAATGTTGTGTTGTGTGGGAAATCAGCATGCGATCCAGAAGCTCTTCCAAACTATGAGAAAGTTGCAAACAATTTCTTGGCAAACAAGAAAGTACTTGTTTCTCCATCATCTCTGGAAACATCTTCCAATGAAATGTTATCTCAGTAACTGCTTAAATACTATGAGAATGTCTGTCCTATCCTTGGCTTAGTGTGATATAACCACAGTGTCTAACCTAAAGACCATCACTTAGAAGGGCAAGGATGCTCTGACCTACCCCTACCCTTTTATGCTTTACTGGAGGATGTCTATGCTATAGGTTATGTAGGATAACCATAAAAAGTGCCCGGTTGGTTTATCGACCCCTGGTGTGGCACTGTGGGTTAATGTGCTGGACTGCAAAGTCAGTTTGAACCACAAGGTTGGAAGTTCAAGCTTAGCAGTTGCTCCTCGGAAACCTTATACAGGGTCGCTAGGGGTCAAAACTGACTCGACGGCACTTAACAACAACAAGAAATTGGTTTAAGATGTGTCACCCTACCTTTTTTTATTCTGAGTAAATCTGTGAGAAGATGTGGTTGGTGCTAAGTGTCATCCTGTCAGTTCTGACTTGTAGTGACCCTGATAGGTGATAGGTCTTCCACAGAGTGCCTAGAAGGTTCGAGCCACCAACCTTGCAGTTGCCAGTCCAGTGCTTATCCTACAGTGCCACATCAAGACTCCATGAGAAGGTATTATTGTTGTTAAGTGCTGTCAAGTAGGTTTCTGACGCATAGCAACCCTGTATTGGGTTTCTGAGGAGTGGCTGGTGAGCTTGAACCACCCACCTTGCGGTGCAAACCGATTTTGCAATCCAGAGCAATAACCCGCAGTGTCACACCAAGACTCCATGAGAAGACACAGCACCTTTAAAATCCTTAGGGAAATTTGCATAATTTTTCTGAACAATTTCTCTACAATAAGGAAACTCTTATCCTCACATTGTTCTTGATAAAATTGAATGAGGTAGTAATATGCAAATCTACCTTGTACAATCCCGGATAGCTTGGAATACTGAACTAGGCTTAGCATTGGAGCCAGACACCACTGTATTTGAATCTAGACTCGGCTCTAATTGGTAAATGTGCTTGTTTACCAAAACCAGGCTGCCTCACCTATAAAGTAAGAGTAACAATACTACCCTCCAGGATTATTATAAAGAGTAAAGACACTATTTCTAAGTTCTTCCCATAGTGCCTTGCACTGACTTGGTCCTCCTAGTCACTTGTCATCATCAGTCTTATGGTCAATGTTGTCTTCATTCAAAATCTAGGATGATTCCAGGCAAGGGTCTTCAGGTGGCTTTGAGACCTCACCAAATTTAGGAGTGATGGTAAATAGCATCTTGGAAGTATCACTTCAGATTTGTGTTGTATCATTGCTGATAGCTGCCTCACCCCTTTTTCTTTTAATCGCTTGCAGTCGAGAATGAAAACCATTGTGATTTTGTGAAGCTTCGAGAGATGCTGATCCGTGTGAACATGGAAGACTTGCGAGAACAGACTCACACTCGCCACTATGAGCTGTATCGACGCTGTAAGCTCGAGGAGATGGGATTCAAGGACACTGATCCTGACAGCAAGCCCTTCAGGTATGAGGAGAACTAGCAATCAGGTGTTTCCCAGTCCGTGTGGGAGTGGCATTGTGGAGCATCACAGAAATGCCCTGTTGGATTGTCAGTGATGAAGAGACTCGAGGAACAAGGAGATTAATAGCAGTCATTGCTAGACATTGCAATAGCCACTTTATTTTCCTTTTCCTAACTAACTGATGTAAGGAGCTCTGGTAGCGTAGTGGTTACGAATCGGGCTGCGAACCTTAAGGTCAGCGGTTCGAAACTACCAGCCGCTCCGCGGGAGAAAGATGAGGCTTTCTACTCCCGTAAAGATTTACACCCTTGGAAACCCTGTACAGGGTCGCTATGGGTCGGAACCGACTCGACGGCGCTTAACAACAACAACAACTAACTGATGTAGTTGTTGTTATGTGCCATGGAGTCGGTTCCAACCCCTAGCGACCCTGTACAGGGTTTCCGAGGCTGTAAATCTTTACGGGAGTAGAAAGCTTCATCTCTCTCCAACAGAGCGGCTTGTAGTTCAGAACTGCTGACCTTAAGGTTCGCAGCCCGATTCGTAACCACTATGCTACCAGAGCTTCTTTTTAGAGATGAGGAAACTAAGGCACTGAGAGTGTAAATGACTTGAATTTTATTAGTAAGAGGTGCAGAGCCTGATCAATGCATTTGAAATGGTTCACTTACTAATCTCAGTTTTACTCATTCTTACCCGCAGGTGTAGCTTCTTAAGGTTCTTACTGTTTGATGCTCTTCTTAATAGTTTTTACTAACTCAGCATAATTCTAACACCAGTGGAGGGGTGGGGAAAGGATAATTTGTTATGACTCTTGTATGTTTCCCCCCACATAATTGATGGGTGAAGATGAAGAGGCAAAGTGGAGAATATGGAAATGAATGTGGAATTTGTTGTTGGTGTTTGTTAAGTGCCGTGGAGTTGGTTCTGACACATAGTGACCCTGTATAGAGTTTCCTAGGAGGGACTGGTGGGTTTGAACCACTGACCTTAAGGGTCAAAGCGACCTTGCCATCTGGTGCTTATCCTACAGGGCCACACCAGGACTCTACATGTGGAATTGTTGTTGTTATTGTTATTAAGTGCCATCAAGTGGTTCCGACCCATAGAGACCTTATATAGGGTTTCCAGGGAGCGACTGGTGAGTTTGAATGGCCAGCTTTGCAGTTCAAACCAACCTTGTGGTCCAGTACTGATCCTACGTACAGCACTACACCAGGACCCCACCTATGGATCTCTGGGTTGCCCACATGGCCAGCCTTGGTAAATGGAGGAAAAGCCCTGGAGAATAATGGAAGTTGACACTGTCTGGCCAGGATCGCCACCTCCTGGTGTAAGAGAGGATCACACTTTGTCTAACTTGAGCCCAAGCATTTTCCTACTGGAAATTTGAATTCAAAAATGTTTCTGAATTCAGGACCTCTACTCACTGGGGCCACAGTTCTTTGGGGAAGACTTGTTTTCTTTCTCTTTTTTGATAGCTAGTCCTATAATTCATACTGTGATGCCTTGGAGCCAGCTGACTGTAGAACAGTACAGCTGTGCATAGTGTAGGCTGACCCATCCGTCCCCTTGAGTCTTTGCTGTCCTGGCGGCAGAAGGGGCCTATTTCCTTGGAATTACCTTAGAGATGGTTTAGTAATGTCTGGGTTGGTGTCCTACAATGGGGATCCCATGGACTGGCACAAGCATCTGTGTATTTGAGGAGAACAAATACATTTGTGTATTTGGTGAGAGCAAAGCATGCCTTGTTAAATGCTGTCAAGGGTGCTTGCAAAACCGAAATCTTCAACCATATGAATTGTTATTTTCTGAAGTAAAATCCAGGATTATTTTATATACACACAAGCTTAGGTAACTGAACCTTGTAATACGTTCAGTCCTGGTGTGGTGCTGTGGGTTAATACACTGGACTGCAAAATTGGTTTGAACCACAAGGGCAGCGGTTTAAGCTCACCAGCTACCCGTTGGAGACCCTATACAGGGTCACTATGGGTCAGAACCAACTCGATGGCACTTAACAACAAAAATACAGTCACCAGAAAATGTTGTTGTCAGGTGCTGTCAAATTGGTTCTGACTCATGTACAACAGAATGAACCACTGTAAGATCCTGAACCGTGCTGACAGCCACTGTGTCAGTCACTTTGTTGAGGGTCTTCCTCATTTTCACTGACCCTCTATTACAGAGCATGATATTAACACTGTCACATGACCATGAGTCAGTGCCATTGAGTTGGTTCCAATTCATAGCAACCCTGTATAGGGTTTCCGAGGCTCTGGTAGCATAGTGGCTGCTAACCTCAATGTTAGCAGTTTGAAACTACTAGCCATTCTGTGGGAGAAAGATGAGGCTTTCTGCTCCTGTAGAGATTTATTGCCTCAGGAACCTTATACAGGGGTCGCTATGAGTTGGAACTGACTGCACGGCACACTACCACCACCACCACCAAATCCTTATGGAAGCAGAAAGCCTCATCAAAGAGGAAAAGAGTAACATTTATTAAGCACCGATTATATGGTGTGGCATTGTAGGATTAGCACTGGACTGCTAATTGCAGGGTTGATGGTTCAAACCAACCAGCTGCTCCTTGGAAACCATATACAGTGTCGCTATGAGTCAGAACTGGCTTGATGGCATTTAACAACAACACAATATATTTCAAATGCTTTACTCACTTTCCCTCAATTTAGTTTTGATAACAATATCCTTAGAAAGTACATGGTATTGTATCTATGTATTAAGTAAGTTAGGGGGAATTTGCCGTCTCCAAGATCAGCTAGTAGGTTGGTATGGCTAGAATTCAACTTGAGCCATCTGACTTCAGTGCCTCGTCATCTTTTCCCCTATACCAGGTCATCTCCATCTTCTACATTGTGAGATCCTGTCACCACCATCTACTTTGTGCTCTGATCTGAAGGATAGTACTTGGCCAGTCTAGGTTTTCTCTACAGGAATACATGTAAGATAAAACTCAGCTAGTATGAAACATGGAGTCCTGGTGTAGCACTGTAGGGTAAGCACTGGACTGCTAACTACAGGGTTGGTGGTTCAAACACGCTAGCTGCTCCTCGGAACCGAGTTGTCAACAGTACTTGAACAACAACAGTAGAAACATATATTTTGCTATTGACTTAACTCCGCTTTTGATCTACTTGTCTTTGCTATATTGCTGCCTAACTAAAAGGAAAATGATGTCACTGTGTGTGTGTGTGTGTGATTTCCTATGGTAAGCAGCAGCCTCGTCTCTGGAAATTAGATGGAGTCGGAATTGTGTGAACTGACACTTCTTAATATGCAATTTCATGACATACTGCTTGTTTTTGTGATTTCAAATAGTCTACAGGAGACCTACGAAGCAAAAAGGAACGAATTCCTGGGAGAGCTTCAGAAGAAAGAAGAAGAAATGAGACAAATGTTTGTTATGAGAGTGAAGGAAAAAGAAGCTGAACTTAAAGAGGCAGAGAAAGAGGTGAGCTTTCTTTCCTCCTGTAAGAACAAGAAACAGAAGGGAGGTTTTGAATTATTACCTCACGTTTTATGATACTGTATGCTTTCAGCACTTTGACATCTACATATATCCAATCACGAGTAGCCTATCAACCCAGGGAGAAAAGTGGATCAGATGTTTTTATTCCTATCTTACAGATGAAGAAAATGAGAATCATAAATGTTAGGCAGTTTAGTAATATACCTCGTATGCAAAGCCTCAACTAAATCTGAATTAGTGCATCAGTCAACTTATTGTTAAGTGCCGTTGAGACCATTCTGAAGAGCAGCTGGTGGGCTTGAACCACAGGCCTGTGTGATTCAAACCAACCCTGCCAGTGCCACACCAGGATGCCAGCCCACTAAATCAGCTAAACAGTGGAAGGACCCTTAGGCATTATCTAGTGAACACTGGATAACATGCACTCATATAATTGTATTGTGTGTGTGTGATATGTCTGCTTTTCCTGGTAGATCATTAGTATCCCAAATGCATGTCCCATAGTTTAATATGTAGCAAAATGAAATTATCTAAATTTTCTCATTTCATTTGCCTATATAATGCCTGGAGTACTGGTGTGGTGCTGTAGTTTAAGTGCTGAATTGCAAGGTCAGCAGTTCAAACTCACCAGCCTCTCCTTGGAAACCCTATCCAGGTTTGCTGTGAGTCAGAACCAACTTGATGGCACTTAACAACAACATATAATGCTTACTGGAACTTAGGGGATATTTATCTAAGCACTCAAGGTGGTTTTGCAGCAGAGAAAGGAAGTTAAGCCATTTATTTGCTGCTGGTTTTTAGAACCAAGTGTACACTGAGTAAATAAATACCCGTAAGTGTCTCATAAGATCTGTAAGGATGGCACTGAGACCACATTGAGCTCCTCTGACTTCACAAAGGGGAAGGAGAATCAAATTCAACACCAGCCCAAGGCCATTTCCTATGAGGCTTGCCTCCACCCTCTCAGCTCCTTTACCAGTTCTAATAACCAACGGTCCCTTCCACAACTCTCTCTTATTTTTTTCTGGGTTCTATCAACCATTGCAGTGGCCATACAGAACTCACAGACAATACTCATAATTATGGGGTTTATTAGGGAAGTTAATAGATTACAGTTTAGCATCACAAATGCTCAGGAACACAGTTCTGTCAGGAGGGCCCCTTCTCAGCTATGCCCAAGCTTTGTCTCTCCCTGGTCCTTGGCCTCTCAGCCACGCTGAACCATGGCCTCTGCTGTGCTCAGGCAATGTTACAAAGAGATTTTTAGCACTGCTAATAAATCCCCAGAAAGGCACTCCACTCAGCTGTTAACCTCAGCCTGAAAGCACTGAATTCTAGCTTTGAGGGTCAGTAAATCTAGCGCCTCTGATTAGGTGCCCTGAAGCAGCCCACTCTGCAAGCAAGTCTCTTGCCCCAAGTCATTCAGCTTTCTTGCTCCCTGGGTTTAGAAGCCCCTCTACTCTGCCTCACGCTCTTGCTCCTGCTGCCTCGGCTGCTGCCCTTATCTGTTGGTAATTTCTATGACATATATAAAAATTTGAAACATCATTAAAACAAAAAAAATGATGTGCAAGTATACATATATATTTTAGGTAGATAATCTGGTGTGATGCCGTGGGTTAATGCGCTGGACTGCAAAGTTGGTTTGAACTGCAAGCTCACCAGCCACTTCTTGGAAACTGTACAGGTTGCTTTGGGTCAGCTGACTCATGGCACTTAACAACAACAATGTGTGTATTGTTATATATATGTGAGTATATTTGTATGTATATAAAGGTGTAATGATATGTATATGCAATGTTGTTACTGTATTTATAGTACATACGTACATGTACATAGGGGATTTATATATATATTTTTTGTTTTGTTTTGTTTTTGTTGTTATGGGCTGTGGAGATGTTTCTGACTCATAGCAACCCTGTACAGGGTTTCCGAGGCTGTAAATCTTTACGGGAGACAGCCTTATCTTTCTCCTGAAGAACAGCTGTTAAGTTCGAACTGCTGACCCTGAGGTTAGCAGCCTGATTCATTATCATTATGCTACCAGAGCTCCATATATGTATACATATATACAGATACTTCTTGGATAATAATGAACTACCTCAAAGAATTGGAGTTTTGGGTTTGAAGAATTAGGATCATAGTGTTATGGAAAATCTTGGTCAGCTGGAGTATTATAGTTCATAAAGTTATATTGTATGTCCTACTTTCATGAATAGTGTCTTGCAAGCAACCACTAAGCTTTGTGAATAACAGCTTGCGAGCAAACACTAAGATGCGATTACTGGTTTCTACTTGTTCTGAATAAAAGCGAACAAAGAAAAAAACCAAAGACTCAGAGAACAAGCCAGCGTACAGTGCAAGTAGTCTGCACAAATCACAGCCGCATCTACCATGAGACTAGAAGAACTAAATGGTTCCTGGCAACACGGCCAACCACTTTAATCAGGGCCACAATAGATGGGCTTGAATAGAATGGGAGAAAACTGTGGAACTGGACCTCAGGTTACTAAAAAACAGCAAAAAAGCAGACTTAACGGACTGATGAAAACTGGAGGACTCCCCAGGGTTGTTGCTCTGAGATACTCTTTAAACCCTGAACCAAAACTAACCTCTGGGGTCACCTTGTATAACAGATTGACACACAAAATAATGAATATCCCCTGTAAGTACTGTGAACCTTTAAAAAAAAATCACCTGTATGAGACCAAGTGGTCAACAATTACTTTAAAACAAGTATGAGACTATAAGAAGGCAGGGAAACTGGATGAATGGAAACATAACAGCCAGAGAAGAACTAATGAGACCATGTACGCATTGTGAAGAATGTAACCAGTGTCACTGAATAATAATAAAGTGCTGAATGGAAACCTGAACTGTTGCATGAGCCTCCACTGAAAACACAAGAAAATATTTAAGACGGTAACAAGAAACCTTTTGGATCACTACAGAACACTTCAGTACAGTACACAGTGGCTTCTACAATGGACTCAAGCTTACCAACAGTCATGAAGATGGAATAGGACCGGGTTGTACTTGGTGGGGGGAGTGACCATAGTACATATTGGAGCTGACTCGGTTGCAGCTACCAACGATATGGCTATGTGTATGTCTGAAACCCAGCCCAGCCCATTGCCACTGAGTCTCTTCTGACTCATGATGACCCCGTAGAGGGATTCTGAAGCTGTAAATCTTTACCAGAGAAGAAAGTCTCATCTTTCTCCCTTGGATCAGCTGGTGGGTTTGAACTGCTGACCTTGCCGCTAGCAGTCCAGTGCTTATCTAGTTCCACTAGGGCTCCTATATATGTATGGAGTCATTGTATATGTCTCTAAATAAATGTATATTAAACATTTCAAAACTGGACCCAAAGTAAAGAGCTACTATTAGCATGAATGTGATTTTTTGGGGGGTAGGACTAAGGATAATTTTGATTTCCTTTATTTATGCTTTTAACAATGAGCATAAACTTTCTTGTTAGAAAACATATACAAGGAATCTCTCAGATCCAAGGAGTGTAATCTCAGAGGAGTCTAGGGCTCCAAAGGCTATTCTTCAGCATCTGAGCCTCACTTCTTCAGGAAGTCACCAAACGTTCTTCACCCCTGCAATCCAAGACACCTTTATATACATACAAATATACTCACATATACATAAGTATACACACATTGTTGTTCTTAAGTGCTGTGAGTCAGTTCGACCCAAAGCAACCTGTGTAGGGTTTCCAAGAAGGGGCTGGTGAGTTGAACTGCCTACCTTGAGGTTCAAACCAACTTTGCAATCCAGCGCATTAACCCACAGCATCACACCAGATTATCTACCTAAATATATATGTATACGTGCACATCATTTTTTGGTTTTAACGATGTTTCAAAATTTTATATATGTCAGAGAAATTACCAACAGGTTCTTTTTGTCTTGTGTACATTTTTGTTGTTGTTGTTAAGTGCTGTCAAGTCGGTTCCGACTCATAGCGACCCTGTACAGGGTTTCCGAGGGTGTAAATCTTTACGGGAGTAGAAAGCCTCACTTTCTCCCACGTAGCGACTGGTAGTTTCGAACCGCTGACCTTAAGGTTCGCAGCCCGATTCGTAATCTATACATAAACAGATCCAAACAACAGTGGGGTTCTGGTGTGGCACTAGAGGATAGACATTGGACTACGAACCACAAGCTTAGCAGTGCTTCAAAATGTACCAGCCGCAACTCATAACTGACTCATCGGGTTTCTATGAGTCAGAACTGACGCGATAGCACTGAATAATAACAAGGAACGTTGTTGTTGTTAGGTGCCATCGAGTTGGTACCGACCCATAGCGACCTTATGCACAGCATAACGAAACTCTGCCCGATCCTGGGCTAACCTCACTACTGTTGCCACACTTAAGTCCATCGATACTGCCACTTGGCCACTCCATCTCGTTGGGGGTCTTCCTCTTTTTCTCTGACCCTCCACCTTATCAAACATGATATCCTTCTCCAGCGACTGCCCCTCCTGAGAATATGTCCGAAGTATGAGAGACGAAGTTTGCCCATCTTGGCCTCTAAGGAGCACGCTGGCTGCACTTCTTCCAAAACGGATCTATTGGTTATTTTGGCAGCCCAAGAAACTTTCAATATTCTCCTCTAACATCATGACTCAAATGTGTCAATTCTTCTATGGTCTTCCTTATTCACTGTCCAGCTTTCAAATGCATATGAGGTTATTGAAAATACCATGGCTTGGGTCAGGCACACCTTAGTCCTCAAGCTGACATCTTTGCTCTTCAACACTTTAAAAAGTTCCTGTGCAGCAGATTTGCCTAATGCAATACATTGTTTGATCTCTTGACTGCTGCTTCCGTGAGTGCTGATAGTTGATCCAAGAAGAATGAAGTCCTTGACAACTCCAGTCTTTTCTCCGTTGATAAGAATGTTGTTTATTGGTCCAGTGGTGAGGTTGCTTTCTTTACATTGAGATGTAATCCATACCCAAGGCTGTGCTCTTTGATCTTCATCAGTAACTGTTTTAAGTCCTCTTCACTTTCAGCAAGCAAGGTTGTATCATCTGCATATTGCAGGTTATTAATGAGTCTTCCTCCAATCCTGAAGCCATGTTTTTCTTCATAGAACCCAGCTTCTCGGGTTATTTGCTCAGCATACAGGTTGAGTAAGTATGGTGAAAGAATACAACCCTGTCATACACCTTTCTTAATTTTCGACCATTTAGTGTTCCCTTGTTGTGTTTGAACAACTGCCTCTAGATTCCTCATGAGCACAATTAAGTGTTCTGGAATACTCATACTTTGCAATATTGTTCATTGCTTTCATGATCCACACAATTGAAATCCTTTGCATAGTCCCTAAAGCACAGGTAAACATCTTTCTGATATTCTCTGCTTTCACCAGTAAAATTTTCATTCCCTTTCCTAAACCTGTTCTCTTTTTTCCCTCTAGCTTCATGAGAAATTTGATCTCCTGAAGCGGACACACCAAGAAGAGAAGAAGAAAGTGGAAGACAAAAAGAAAGAACTTGAGGAGGAGGTGAACAATTTCCAGAAGAAAAAAGCAGCAGCTCAGTTACTACAGTCCCAAGCCCAGCAATCTGGGGCCCAGCAAACCAAGAAAGACAAGGATAAGAAAAAGTAAGCAGGTGTCATCCCAGTGTATTGGGGCTCCTAACAATATATTCCTCCTGCATGTCTCTACTTTTCCTGTTTGCAGACTGGAAATCGGTATACTACCAGAAAGATAAAAGCAACTATTTTCTCTACAGTGCAGGGAAGATGATAAATATTTTAAAAATATTTTTAAAGGGTACACGAACATTAATTTATAAAACTTGACCAAAATGATCAAGCAGTCTGGACTGGAGTAACTTGTTCTGTCCGGTAGCACCTTCTGCACCAACACTAGGATTCTCTGAAAAGACAGCACTCTTTCTCTTCAGTTCCATCTGAAGACATTGCTCATGACTCTTTTGATAGAGACCATCCCACACTTGTGATTGTTAAAATGATTTTCCTAGTCTGTGTTGTAAGATTTCAGAAGTTAGTCATTTAAAATCTCATTTCCAAAATGAAATATTTGGAAGAGTTGCTAGTGACCACTACTTTTCCTCTCAGTTGAGCAAAATGATGGATTATTGCCAATGCCAACAAAATGGCTTTCCAGTTTAGACACCCCCATAAACCTCCAGTCGCACTTAAGCCCACACACAAACCATTTTAAAATATGGCCTTGATTTAATGTCCCAAAGGGTCTTATTCTACTTTTGAGTGTTAGTCTAATCACAGCTACCTGCACCCAACAGATTTGGGCCACCCGTGAAATTCCTCTGCGGTTTGTAGCTCGTGAGTCAAATCGTCTTGACTAAAGAGTACAGTTCTATGGTGCAACTATCGGTGTGAAAGTAAACCCAGTAGATCAGTAGGATACAGTTGGGGAAAACCCATGTACTAGCCTGACGAGAAATACAGGTATGCTGCCATACTTTGCTTAAAGTAGGTGCTTTTGGGGCAGCTATAAAGCAATTCAAACTTGTTCCAGGTCCTTGCTCTTCATCCTTAGATGCTAAGGTTCTAGAGAAACAGCTGGCAACTAAGTAAACAGCAAAAATCGTGGTACACAGCAGGCAGAGAATTATATTCTTAAAAAATAGAATCCAAAGGATTGGGTCTGTGCATAATAATAATAAAAACAATAGTTTTACTCACTTAGTCTTGGTTAACATGCAGTAAGAAGGCTGACCCGAAGGAATCGTATTAAGTTGCCTGTAATCAGAATTAAGATGCACAGCTCCAATGACATGCTGAGTTTTCACTCGTACTATACAAACTTTGACTTTCCAAGCTTTCAGACCAAAGGAAGGATGTTTGAGAGCAAGGAAACAGGAAGCTGCTGTGAGCAATAATGGAGGTAGTTGGTATAGGTGAGGTGTGATTGTACAAGGGGTACAGACACACGTGATCAAAGGAGTCCAAGTGCCCAACATTTCATTCTGCTGGATTAACTCCAAAAGATGATAATCTAGTTCAGCGAGAGTGCTTTGTAGCATGTTCACAGGGTGTTGGCTATAATCCAGAGATGATAGTGAAGACACAAAGTCCATTTCTAAAAACTGCCATTTAGCATTGCAGCATTGTTGATCCAAACTAACTCAAGACAAAAATGGGTGACTGTGCAGATGAATGTGTGTGTGTGTGTGCCTGTACATGTTGAGTGACATAGAGAAAAGCTGCTGGCTCACAGTTTAGGAAACCCAACGCCAACTTTTTCTTATCCTGAAGCACTAATGTGCATAAAGGTACATGTTTTAAATCTTAGAAGGTTTTAAAAGACCGACAAGGTTCAAAGAATATTTCATGTATACTGGATGTGCCTTTAAGCAATAAAATTCCAAGAGTTGTTCGGTATTGTGCCTCCTTTAGGGGAAAAAAACAATATGTCTTGTAACAAACCTTCCATATAGGGAAACATTTTAGGTGATTTTCTTCCCATCCTTTAGGCCTTACTGATATATAGGTAAAGGTTTACATGACATATGTGTGAATTCTATTTTAGCCTTATTTTTGTTTTCCCATTTATAATTAACGTAACGAAACAATTTGGCTTTGCACCTAACAATACATGTATTTTTTTTTTAACCTAACTTCTAGGTTCTTACTTTTTCCCATACTTTTCCATGTGTACAGTGAAAGCAACTGCCAGTTGGAGGCCTGAGGTATAAAAGTTAAATAAAAATCACACCTCTGAATGCAAGGGCCAGCTGGAGAGTCTTGATTTGAAAGGACCATAGAAAGACAGCAACCACAGGGTAACCAGAGCAGCTCGTGGCCGAGCTGGAGAAGATGTTGGAGTTACCAGCTATGCCATTTAGGGGGTGGTTTTGTTCTAGGTAGGAAGGAAGACAAAGAGCTGCTTACTTATTTACCTGCTATCCTTCCACCTCAGAGTTTAACTTAGGTTTTAAAAATATTTTTTAATTCAGTTTTGCTTTGATTTGTTCCCTATTCTAATGAAATGCTCCCTTTTTAACATGCTCCCTGACCTGTAGAGGCATGAAAACATATAGCATTCCCTAAGATTACAGACACAGTAGAACTAATTCTGGCACTGCCGCTAGCTGGACCCCCATCTCCTGCCATCTCTGCCCATCAACTCACTTTCCTTGTTTGCGACTAAACCACAGTGGTGGGACTACCCGAGGGTAAGTTGTTCAGCGGACAGTGTTCATCTTTTCTGAAAAATTTCCACACAATCGTCTCCCCTAACCCCCGCTCTCCTGGCATTTGCTGCCTATGATGCATCCATACCAAAGGAAGGTTTTAAAATACATCATTTTAAAACTGTGCCTGACATCTAATAAGCGCAGTTTGACACCACAGTCCACTCATCTTTTTTTTTTTTTAACAAATGATTTTATTCTTCTAAGGAAGAAAAATTGCATGTTTTGTACTTGCCTGAAATGAGAAGCAACCACACTGTTGACCTTGGGTTTGGCGTTGCTTCATGCAGGAATATGAGGGGGGAAGGCTCCTGGCATTGCTGTAGCTGTACCCAGATTATGATTGTCTTTTTTTTCCTTCCCAAGTAGATTCATAGCATGTTTTACATCCACTGTATTCCAACTTCCAAGTTAATTGTACAAAGACATTTACTATACGGTGACCTGTGAGAGCTGGAATTAGACTGGGCTGCCTTGCTTTTCCAGGTCTCCAGAGTTGTCCACGTTTGGCAAGGTGCAGTCATTCTACTGTTCTATTGCTCTGTGCGTGGGAAATATTTGAGTTGTCCTTCTCTGACAGGTTCCTACCTTGCTCAGATTCCAGCTCTTGCAGTTCTTGCTGCATATTTACTTATTCTCTGACTCCTTCAGTAGCTCAGAAGTGGAAGATGAAGTTCCTAATAATAATTAATAAGTGGGTTTGTTTTGTTTGAGGGAAAAAAAAAAATCCCACCATTAAAGAACATGCAGTGGTGTCAAGAAGTCACTCATGAAGTCTAGATTTACGTGCAAGCTAAAACTAACCAGAAGTCCTTTAATTCAGTATGAACATGTTGCTTTTGCTTGTCATGTAGAATAATGGCCTCGTCAAGTGTTCGGTTTTAATCTCTGTCAGTTCCATAACCATTGCATGGGCATTCACCATCACTGAATGCTGGTGCTGCCGCTCCTAAGTCCCCTTTCTTTTTCATTATTATTTCTAACTTTTGTTTTGTTTTTTAACTTGCAGTGCAAGCTTCACATAAAGCCTGGCAAGCCAAGGATGTTCCCGCATTCACCTGCTTTTGCAGTAATATTGTGTCTCTGCCATTTGTGTCCTTTGATTTTACTTTTTTTTTCTTCCATTTTTTTTTTTTTGTTTTTTTACCCTTCCCCAAATGCCAATAACGATTAATAACTCATTGGGCTGAATGTTGCTGGGTGGAGGAAAATGATAGAATGACAGCAAAAGCTATGTGCAAGCTGGACTGGAAAGTAAATCATTTGCCTCTTATGCCTGTTCAGAGTGGCAGCAATTAGCATGCCTGCCACTTGTATGTTGCTTTGGACCGAGGAAAGAAGGGTAAAATGCTACGTGTGCGTCTGACGTGAAAACAGCTCACGCCTCCGCGGCTGCAGTAAGATCCTGAATAGCCATGCCTATGACAACAACTTGCATTATCTTTGTTCATCTCCATGAATCCAAAATCTCTGAATGAACTCTGTCACTTCTCCACACCTGCCCCAAACCAAGGGAGATTTGTATGTAGGCAGAATGGTGGGCAGCCATGATATGACTTTTACACTTGCTGTGTATTGTTTTCACTTTAACCGGTAACATTATTAGGCCTAGACTTGTAGTCTCCTCTTATAGTTTTAACTGTATTTGAACCCCTTTCACAAATCCTAACCAAGTTGGAGAGGACTGTACTAAAAAAATTATGATTACTTTAACTAGTACAGCCTTTATAATGGGTTTTCCACCACCTACTTACTATTTAAGACCTGGGATCTTTGATCCACACTCCTGAATTTGGTCTCAGTGATTTGAAGGGGGAGCATCCTGAAGACTGATTTCAGGATATCTATACAAATTCTAATAAAATTTCCCCTGAACATGAGAAATTTTCCAGAAATACTTCACATGGGAACGTTGTTATAAGCTGCAGGTCACATTTGAGGGGACCTTGTCATTTAAGATAGAAACGGGAAAGAACACAACACAAATCCTTAAGTCAAGAAAGTAGAAATTCCGCTTCACATGTAGCTTCCTTTAACATTCGTATTTGACAGTAAAGGGAAGAAGCAATAGAACACTTGAGTTTTTCAAACCCAGTTTCCCTGAGGGAATTTTCTCACCATTCCCTTCTAGCCACAACTAGCCCCACTTGCTCGTGGTGACCAAGTCTAGTCTAGGAGAAACATCAGAGCCTCATCAGTGAAAATTAGGACTGACCCACGCACCGTGATGTATACTACTTGTGTAATTGGTATGGGAAAGGGCATCAAAGGGGGCTTCAAAAAGCTCATGGAAAATGGAATTGAAAGATAATGGAGTTTTCCCACCAACTTTTTGAATCCCCTTCATATTTCTTGAATCCCTTTTCTCTACCATTTCTCTCTGATGCCTGACTTTTCTCAGTTTTCTTTCTCAACTAACAAGGTCTGTCCTCCCGGCTTTCTAACTCCGCCATCTCCTATTTCTTCTGTGAAAGAGTAACACTTCTTATCATTAGCCTGATAATTCACCTCTGCCTTTCTGCCTTTTTCTTCTGGCCGGAACTAATCATGCATTAAGTAATTAAGATAGAATTCACCTGCTCTCCCTTTAAAAAAAAAAAATTTCTCTTTTTCTTCAACCATATTCTTATAAAATGACTTAGGCTTTCTTAAGCAAAGTAAGGAAACCAGTTTCATTGGCACCTAAACTAAAGTGGGATAGAAATTGCAAACCAGATGCAGTGGCAGTAGTGGTACAAAGACAGCTATGAGACCAAGTTTGGTTTGTTTATGATTCTAGTCTGAAGCTGGCTGTGGAATGGCTAAATGTTAGGTGGCATGCTAATCCTAACCATGGGCTGAATTTGCTCATATGCTATGCACCAGACCAAAGTTTGAATTCGTGTATTGTATGCTTGAGCCATCTACTGCTTGTGTGAGCATTTTTGTGCCTTGCAACAGAAGATATACTTTTATATTTTGTTTCTTGCATCACTAAAGCCTAGCCATGAAAGATATCCAGCTGACTTTTTGATTCCAAGATTATTGATTGATTAAAGGATTTTTTTTCCCCCCCATAAATGTTTTACAACAAAGTAAATCATTTGGTGAGTCAGGGAATAAAAAGCAAAAAGGAAGATATTGAAGCTTTTTCTTTTTTGAATGTATTGCTTCTAAACTTTTTTTCTACCACTCCTCCCTGGCCCTGTTTAGTTTGTTATTGCTGCTCTTCTCTTTTCCTTTCTGTATCTGTGCCTTTTTTCACAGTAGTCCTTGGCTCTGCACGGAATAAATGATACCCTCAAATCTAATTGGATGTGCTTTCGCCTCTGCATGTAAGTACAGTAGTAAGAAATCTTTATGATATTTCCAACTTTTAAAAAAAAAGAACAAACATGGGATGGATGGAATTTTTTCTTTTGAAGGGGTTTCAGGAGGCAATGGTTTGGATAGCCTTTGTTTTTTTTGTTTAAAGCCCAATTATATTTTAAATGACTACGTGTGTATCATTTTCCACAAGAACCACATAAATTCATTTTTCCCTTGGTATCAATATGTTAAGTCAGAAATTACTGATGTCAACCTCTGTTCTATACAGACATCATTGGATATCACAGAGTATGAATCTTGGGGCATTGCCTTTGGCAATATAAATAAATTTGGAAGGAAAAACTTCTCTTTTCCACTGGAAGAGAAGAGGAAATAAATCTTTTTATGCAAGGCTGCTATTTTGACTGTTTTATTTTTGGGGTGACCTTAGTTGAATGGTCTCTCCCTGGTCCTAACTGCTGATAGGCAGTGATTGATTACCTTTTATTTTTTTTGGCCAGACAGCTCTACTTGGCCCTTTTTTATAGTTATTTTTTGTTCAGCCATAATGACTGCTCTTTTTGTGTGCTTTTTCTGGACTTTAGCTATCAATAACAGGTGTGCTATAGGATGTGATCGAAAAGCATCTATGAAAGTTTACTGGTAGTTCAGATCCCAGCTTCTAGGATCTTTTTTAGTGGGCCAAAGTTTTATCAAGCAAAGAGCATCTAACCAGGGGAATCATTTAGCATAATGCTGGGCACAGGTTACTTATCTTCCTTCTCCCTGCTTTGCCATCTCACCAGCAGTAACACTTACTCTTCAGATTTTGTGCAACCTCCAAAGAGCAGACCTGGTTTCCCATCCCTAAGTGTTTCAGATACAAACTGTTCAGTCAGGTTTTTCAGCTGTTACCAACCCACATTGTACTGTCTCTGTGTGGTCCGGCTCAAACTGTTCATTCAGATCCCTTTGCTTTGCCATTTGCGAGTGTCTTAAATCATCAAGTCTCAACTTCCAAAAGTCCTGGTTCCCTTGACCGGACATACGTGTGATGACTCTTTAGTGGACATTATGACCTACCAAGTCAAGATTGTATGTAGGTATGAAGAGAATTTTTCAAATAAATTGAACATTAAGCTGTGAACAGCATTAGAACTTTGTCCATTTCTTAACTTTAAAAATATACTGATATGCCTTAAACTGTAGTTGTAGATCATTGTCATTTTGCTGTTTGGAAATAACCAATGTGTTTTCTAAAACTTGTGTAATCTACTTTCAGTGTTAATGCAGAATTGTCATGTATGTAAGCTGCATGTTAGACACTTGTCTTTTAAAAAACAAAAAAAACAAAAACGAAACTAAAATCATTGTATTGATGTGAAGCATATCATTATTTCAAGTATGAAAGTAATCACTTAGCCAACAAGCTCAGCAATTTGGTGTCTGTTAAGGTAGGAGTGTGGTGGACAGGTAATCTATGCATTTATCAATAGTGCCAAGACATGAAGTGGGGGAAAATATATTTTTACCCAAACATTGTTTTGTGTGCCCTTTTGTGAGTCCTTTTAAATCATTGCTTGATATACATATGTATACGTGCTTGTTATACTGGGTAAAAGGAACAGGGGTGAGAGTCTTCTGCCTCCCTGTCTCGTCTGGAGGACTGCCAACGCTACCATCTGGGCAGCTTTAACTGCTCCGAAATATTTGCTGTTGTGGTGTTCTGTTATTTCACATACCATCTCTGCCACGCCTCCGGCCCTCTGATTAGCATCCCCTGGTACCCCGTTGTTCGAGCTGTGCTGATCGGTGAGGTGGTCCCTGGAACTGACCCTCTGCTGTTCTTTCAGTTTACTATAGAGAAAGAAGCTCCTATTTTCTTTTTAAAGCCTTAAGAATCAAATTGGAATCTGAACCTTTCTTTCTTCTCTTCTGTAGCTTCTTCTTTATGTAACCATCCTGTTGACAAGCCCTAATCTCTCCTAATGGACATAGAGCATTAGAAGAGCAGGAGCTGTCTGTTCACACGTGTTGGGGAAGAGTTACCTCATTTCCACCATCGCCTCCTATTCTTTAACGTCTGGGTCAAATATTGCACTACTGTTTGTATTTGTCGATGTCTGTTTACGAACCACTGCCCACAGTGGATCCTGAAGTGACTTGTCACTACCCAAAATAGTAAATTTAAAAAATATTAAAAGAAAAAAGGAAATTGAATGAAACAAAGAACTTGGGTCAAGACCCAAGGTAGCCATGTGTTGAGAGCTCTTAGCTGTCATGTTCTTGAAACTGCTGATCCAAGAACTCATGGACTGAAGACAGCATGCACCCTAACCTGAGGTGGTCACCCCCTCCAGGGCCTACAAACGTGATCTAATGCTAACTCCAGACTCTCTGCCCTGTGAGCAACTTTCTGAACAGTCCTATCGGGAGCCTCAACTATCAGGTCATAAGATGTGGGCAATATTTTCCTTTTACTAGTATTTGGGATTTCGTTTTTAATTTTTAAAAGCACTTGATATTGCATGAACCAATAGATGACTGCAATTTTTTTTTTTTTTTAATTTGGAGTGTTAATTTTTTTTTTTTAATTTGGAGTGTTGTGTTGATACAATGTTTTTATTTTTCAGCTGACCATCTGCCTCTTGAGAGAGAGAAGTGGGCATCCTTCCTTTAAATTCAGAAACCATTGTTGTTTTGACTCCCCCCCCCCCCTTACCTGCATTCTTAATCTAAGTTGTTTTGAGTTTGGGGATTCTGTTTGGGGAGGAAAAAAAATTTCCAATCAGACAGTTCTGTTTTATGTATTGGTTATTCAAACATCGTTTTGGTGTTAAATTCTTCCTGTTTTAAGCTCACTTCAAGGAGAAGTTTAGGTGAACACTAAATGACAAATTTCTGAGTTAAGATGCTCTTCTCATACAAAAAATCCCTTATTGTCACCGGAGTTCTGACCTACAAGTCAATGTTGGTAGATGTCCCCCCATCCCACCCCATTTATACTTGAAGCTACCTTAAAATAACTTTCTAGACTACCCCGTGCCTTTCTATATATTGTGAAGCTCTCCTTTGTGCCATTTTTTACCTAGGACCCACGTGGCCTAAACCACAGGAAATGAACCTTGAA